ACTTCTTTACAATAGGACTTTCTTGACGTTCATATTGAAAATTCTGACCTTGATGTTGGCTGACAGTTGTTTTGAGTTCCATATATTCTTCGATAGTAGGAATCCTGTCGTTAGTTTGCCAATCCTTGCCTTCACACCTGCATCGGATCCTTCTTGTTCATCGACGATGCTACCCAGTTGCATAAAACTTTCCGCCTCTTCCAGAGCTCCTTCATAATGTGATTGGGTTGGTTCTCACTACGTTATACTTCAGGATTATTTTTCACTTGTAAATGTGTATGAAATAGAGGGGCTATATCATTTGCAAACCCTAAATCATCCAACTTTACCCAAGGTTTTCACTTGTCCCCAAATGCCCTGGTATGGCTCTCGAAATGCTCTCACAGGACCACGCGTATACAGCCCCTGCCAGGGAAGTCCTACTCACTGTCTTCTCGTGGCGGGGGTGTTGTTTACGAAATCGAGAGGACGAAAAGCGAATGTCCGGCGCTCTAACCGGATCCCAAACTAATGGTGCACATGGGCTCGAGTATCCTGCGGGAACAAATGGCGTATGAACCAATGGTTGTTCACCGGCTTCCACGGGACGGCATCTCCTCACGATGCTCCATTGCCTTGTGGGTCAGACCTTTAGGTCAAAGGCTCTGGATGTGGCCCCCTAAGATAACCACCTGCTTCGGTTTGGGCATCCGGGCAGTATCTCAGCCCGCACACAAAAACATGATAAACTATCTACTTATGAAGGGTTTTACATAATGTATATATTACTTTAACACTTAAAACTTTATATGGTTTCTTTTTACAAGTTTCTACTACATTCCTAGATAATATTAAGTACAATTAATAGAAAGCTATTTACATCTTAACAATCAATATAACGTCGATTATATACGTATCATTACCAAGGTTTGACATGATAATTTCAAATAAATTGAGCATTGAGTAGGTTGTTATAAATAAAACGAACGTATATATTTGTAACCTACTAAGATAACCACCTGCTTCGGTCTGGGCACCTGTGCAGTATCACAGCTCTCACACAAATATAATTAATTTGTGTGGTACATATATATTTGGTGCCTTCTTGTACCAATATTTATGTGTTCAGATAAACAAATAAGTAAATAAATCAGGATAATCGAGTCCTTTCATAGACAATAGACTGCAGTCTCTCATTAAATTGATCTTTATCGTCTTCGTTGCTATCCCTTTTGGGTGCATAGCACTGGATAACATTCATTGTGGTTCCCTTTCTCTTTGTTTTGAAGGATCATATAAATTCTTTGCGTGCTTCTTTAAACATTATCAGTGCAAGTCGTTGTGTGTGCGAAGCAATTTCTTCTTCATGATCAGAGTACAACATCAACTCTCTCGATGGTAACCTTTTCTTTCTAGCTTGTGTCTAATAGGATACACTTATTCCAAGAAGAGCCAGAGTGTATTTTCTCATTTCCGCGTCTACTTGAATGGTCATTCCATTCCCCTATATGAAGATTCTTTGCACCTATATTAAATGTTGCTCTGATTTTCAGAAGAGGCATGGTTCTGTGAATTCCAAAGAATCTCGGCTTTCATTACAAGGTATCATAACTCTTGTATATGAAGACCCTTGAGTTCACGTGGTAGAGTTTATATAGTTTAATTGATTCTTCCTTGCTAGAATTTTATTTAGTAAGGCCCTCTTTACGGGAAGAGGTTGCTAACCTCGCTTCAAATCCTTCTCTATCCTGATTTGCAACCAGCATTAACCCTTGAAAGGCTTCAGTTGGAATTATATGTATCATAACTTATTTCACACACAGGTTATTCTGAAATGGATATTGTCTAGCAGTGGAATTCAGGACTCATGTTTCGTCCTATCTGGAATGCACGTGGATCGAAGAGCTGAGTTGTCTCGGAGTGAACGCCAATTCTGCGATGCTGGTACATTCACCCGACGGTTCCCAGATGAGACAAAACGCGCGTCCTGAATTCCACTGCTGGCCATCCATCCCTGTCTAAAAATGCTTGAAACTTAGTGGCAGTATAGAGGCAATAATCACAAGATGCACACATACTTAAAGAAAGTGATCAATTGCAGTCCTAAACATACATTAGTGTAAAGATTCAAACAACCAATATATGTAAATTAAAGCTCACTCTGATTATCAAATGCCATTTAGACTTGATAAGTAGATTGTCCGTAATCACTATCAGCTTTACTGTCTTCTGAATAACTTGTTCACCAACGACAGAATTGTCACTAATGAAACTACTATTAGGTCATAGACTTGTAAATACTATCAGTTCTGTTCACTTATATTTATCTTAAAAGTTAAAATTGAACACAGATTACCAAATTATAGTGTTATATCCTAGTGAAGGTTAAATTACGGGTAACTTCAGAGAACTATTAATAGTCTAATATTATATATATATATATATATATATATATATATATATATATAATTATTATTATTATTATGCGATTTACTGTTCTTAAGTTATGTTCAGTTTATTAACTACAGTTTCACATGTTCACAGCCACTTTTTGGCTTGATCTTGTATAAATGTTATTTCTTATTTTATGGTGGGACACAGTCTGTGTGGCTGGTATATAAACCAAGTATGTTTGAAATAAATGATTCGCATAGTGGAAGCTGTTGTTGGCGTTCTGGACTCAACTGGACGAGCTAGGCAAACAAAAGACCAATAAGGATACTAGGCTGTTCATGCCGGTCGAACGTCATTGTTTTAGCACAGTGCTAAGATTGAATAAGTCGTATTTCGATTGGCGAATAAATCACGTGATAACTATCCGGGTTTAAAGTCACAACAGTTTATAATTACTGATTGGGGTTTAGCAATCGAACGATACTGTGTTTGTATTCACTAGTCCAAATGGGAGTACGTTATATAGTATACTGGTTGAATGTTAGATGTTCTCAGTCAGTCAGTAAAATACTTTAAACTTGAGTTTCATCACTGTTTTCACTTTTTTGTGCGACATATCTCACAGTGGAGGGAACAGTTCAAATGTATAAGTTCAAACACTGATCAGTTATTCATTTATTGGCTTTTTTAAAGAAATCTAGTTGTAACATGATTTTGTTTTGGTTTAAATAATCTAGTGGTAACATTTCTATTCATGGCAAATAAGAGCATTAATACTTCGACAATTACAGATACACCCTGTTTATCGAAACTGGACAAGTATAAATGGTGCTTACAGCTTCCCAACCGTTTCAGCTGCCTTGAAATGGTGGTAGGGCTTAGATATCGTGATGAACCAGTCGGGCTATACTGGCTGGAACAATCGTTCCCCAATGTTTTACCATTCCAGGCAGGTCGACTGAAGAGCGGTAAGACTAAGTCGTACTGCTGACTGTACGGAGGTGTGACGGGAGTAAGGTGTTTTCTTCAGACAACCAGTATAATAGCGGTGCTGCCTTTCCACAAGGAGGGGTGGGATTAGAAAAGGTCGATCCTAAAAATGCACACCTCGCCTTGTCCTACGGATATCCGTCTCTGGCGGTAAGGTCTCAACAAATACGGAGCCAACACGAAAATTACTCACAAAAAGTTCGTGTGTGACCGACCTCAAGTAGTTGTCCCTTGGGCACTGTGGTCACACTCTCAAGTCAGTAAGACCACCCGTAATCCAATTTTTTTAGGTGCCTCCAGAAGAACCCTTCCACGGTGTGGGCAACCGAGAAGTGATGACCGCTCTCATACTTTTAACGGCTTATAGTTTCTTGTTACTAGACATTAAAAGTTGCCATTGTCCTGGTGCGATCCTTATAACAACAACTTTCCAATATTTTTATCACTTTGTTATAACTTGTGAAACTGTGTGCCCTGTTATGGTTAACGCAGCGATGCCGCCAGTCAGAGAGCAGCGAATTATCGATCGAACCAGTGACGCATAAAACAAGTGCGAGCAGCCTAGAGTCCTGATTGGTCTCTCTCCCTGTCTAGCCCAGCCAGTCAAGTCCAGAACACCAATTTCAGCCTCTGCAATATGGATCATTTATTTTCAAACATACGGGGTTTATATACCAATCAAACAGACCACAACCTACCATAAAATAGAAAATAACATTTGTACAGTTTTTGGCCAAAAGTGGCTGTGAATGAGGGAGGTAGTGATTAACAGACAGGGAATAATTCAAGAATGGTGAAACGTATAATAATAGTTCATAGGTCAAAATAAAACTCATAATAACAGGGACATGAATATAAACAGTTTAGTTACATAACAATTACACGATAAAAATATACTCAGTATTGGTCCATAAATGGATCCCGAAAATCACCATTCATTATTCTCATCGGGATATAACACCTCCCCTTTTTGAAGATCCGGGTTTATCCTCCCCAACAAAACAGTGTTGCATCCTCATATTCCCAAGTTACAATTGATTTGACTTTATTTAAAACGTATTTGTCGCATTGAACAGAGAATTTACCAAAGGTGATTAAATGGTGAGGATCAACGTCGCTTGATTTGAGGTCATCAACGTTTGATTCTTCTGGAACATTGTCATCAAATTTATTGAAAATCTCATTAGTAGATAGTCGGTCACTAGAACAATCAGCATCTATCAAAATTTTATTAGGTTCTTAATCATCGTTTGGTGCATCCGACAAATTTTTCTCATTTTTGTAAGAAATTTGATCAAAAGCAGATGAGTCATTAAGATAACTCATATTTGATAAAACAACTAGAGAACTCCAATAAGTAGATTCATCAGAATTTTTTGTTCTGGAATGATGAGCTCCATCTAATGCTGCCAGATCCATTTTCTGTCTCTTCGTGGGCGATGGGATTTGAACCCACGACATGGCATGTCTCTGAAATGGACATTTCTGGACCACTGGGAGGATCGTGAATGACTGCTACTGCTTCGCTTACATTACTGCTCGTCAAGGATTCGTAGAGGCTTTTATCGACACATTCATACGTTCTGCATTCATTTTCCAGCTCTGTATGCAAGTTAGGAATTAGTTTATCAACTTCTGTCACATCTCCAAAACATGGATGATTTAGCAGCTGTGTGCGTAAATTGTCTGAAACATTCAACTGGCTATTTTTGAAACGCTGCTGTTGTCGCTCAAATAGCAACTGTAATTGATCGGAAGAGATAGCCATTTTCTGAATCAGTGCGGTAATGACTAATTAACAATCAATGTCGTTGAATGACACCGGCGAGAATTTTGTATGCTGATTGCTCGAAATAATTAGACTGAATTTCGTCCAATTACAGGCTGACGTTGAAGATTGAGGGTTCAGAATTTTTTTCTACCCTGTCGCCACCTAAGATTGAAGTTAATTTTAATATCAATATTTTTAAATTATCTACTCCAATCATACGGACCTCATGCGTTACATTCAGATACAATTTTGTCAATGATTTATATTAACTATTCATACTGTTAATGATATATTATTTTTTTCTTTCATCCATATATTAATGAAAAACTGTCTTGACTTTTTTCTTTAATAACAAAACAGCCCACTATCCAGTCTTATAAACAGTTTATGAATGTACCTTTCACTTGTTGTTCTATCAGTGCAGATGGCAGTCTAATTTGTTGTGGTACAGAAGTTTACAGATTGAAAAAGAAACGTCGAAAACATAACTCCAGAAATATTAGTGAATACGATGAGGAAACAGCTCAATTAGTTTATTGGGACACACGAAATTTATCATCTCCGTCGGGTATTATTAAAGATTTACATTCAGATGATATTGTTGATGTAAAATTCGACCCAACTTCTGTTCCTGGTTATCTACGCCTAATGGATTGTTCTGAAGATGGCGTAATATGCTTGTATGATATGAATGCAGAGGCGATTTCACAGGATAATTCTCTTTTATATGTGAGTTTAAATTGGAAATAACTTCTCATGTTATCTTTCGAGGCTGGCAATGAAGGAGGACATAAATTGTTATTTTATCAGGAGCAGCTCATTAGTGTGAATCCTAGTTGGCAATAATGTTTTTGATGTAAAACTCAAAACCATCATATATATTTTGAAATGGTGGAGAAGATTTGTAGCTCAGGTGGATGATTTTGATGGAGTTTTGTTCTCTGAGCTGAATAGTTTGGTCATAGAGCTTTCATCGTTCTTCTGAACGACATCAGGTAGAAGACTTCTACCTGAAGTTTGTGCTGATGATGTCGTTCAGAAGAACGATGCTTTCATCGATCAGACCATCCAGCTCAGAGAACAAAACTCCATCAATATATATATATATATATATATATATATATATATATATTCTGTTTCAGGTATCCTTTTATATGTGTTTAGGGAACATTCCACTGAATTAGACGACTAATCCCTCCTAAAAATGTGCTAAACAAATTTTAAAAAAGGCATCCCAATAGGTGTAATACCACCAAGTCTCTCGGAAGTAATTTAATTGATGGTTTTATTCACAAATCTATAAACTCAAAGAATCTGCATTGATTTTTTATTCCCTCTTAAATTTGTTTCTAATCGGTAAATATAATCAAGGTCACTTTGAAATAAGTTCATAATGGAATTTTTAGACTTTATCATCCACTGAAAATTGTCAATATCTGACAATTTGAAACTTTACTCGATAGAATCGAGTCAGTACTGAGTACTAACTATACAGTGTGGCGATCAGATTATACTTAAGTCATTCCTACGTAGAAGGAATTGCGAGCCGATCAGCTCATTAAAGACACCTTTGACTGATGCTAACTTAGGCTCGAGTTCATAAAGAGACAATATTTCCATTGCAGTTACATATGTATCTTGCTAATGAGTGCCAATTATTACGTCAAGAACGGATTTCTACTTTGATTCTTCTTACGTCCTACAAACTTAAAATGTTTGTTGGTGTTGAGTAAGAAAATTTATGAGAAGCTATTTATGTTTCATTGTTGAATATTACTGAATTTGTTTTGGGAAATTTTACGTAGACTAGTTCATGATGCTAGTTACTGGTGTGATCCTTGAAATAAGAAATAAGTCGGAATCATAAGCCAAATTGAACTACCGACTTACCATCTACCCATTCTTTCCTCTATCACTTAATTTACAACAAATAGCCATTAATCAAATATCATTTTGATTCAATCACTAATAGTATCAAATAACCCTTCCTAATTGTTAGCATAATCTAACCAAGACTTATTTATTCACCGTAAGATGGCATTTGATTTCAGTCTTATCATTTATCCATTGATCTCAAAAGGCCCCACTGGAAAAATAATTCAGTAGCCACGACCTATCTTATGTTAATTTAAATAAGAAAAGGTTTAGAAACTACTTTATTTTCAATGAATTACTGTCAAGTTTCTTTCAATAACTATAGCTGCAATTATCTCTACACCAGCAGACCACTGAATACTGATAAATGTGATATTACAGTAGTCCTTAGTCCTGATCGAATTTTATCAACCAAGTCACTATGTTTTGACCGCTAGCCTAAGTAGCTCGATATCGCAATTCACTCTTTGATCGGAAGAACTCGATCAGTACTACGGACTAGACAAACTTAAAGTTGATTACTACTCTGTGACCATTCAGTAGATATACATATCCTGCTTGGAAGTAACTGATACAAATTCCTGTATCTAGTTTCCGTGCTAGTTATCACCTGCTGCAGCAAGATATCCATAATCCTGAGTAACTAAATACTTACTATTGAATTTGAACCTGTACCACCCATAATCACAACCGATAGCTTAACTAATAATAATCTGTTCAAATTGCGACTGATCACTTCTTGATTATTTCATTTTCTAATTTGCGATATTAATCCATTTGATTTGTCGTTTTTTCCATCCATTCATCTGTAGATGTTCAATTCAGAATCAGTGGCTAGTTCATGTGATTGGTTAATATCACATAATGATCTATCTTCTAATTCCGCTGCTGTTGGCGTCTATTGCACAACTACAATGCGATCAAATATTAAGGCATGGCCAATACACCCATCAATGTTACATAATAATAATATGGTTGAAGAAGAAAACTTCAAAGAAGACAAAGAATCATTCAGTTTATCTGAAAAAGATGAGGAAGAACTAACTGAGAAAACACGATTATGGAATTCTAAGTTTAATACGAATAATCCTAATAGTGACGATAGTGATAATAAGATTTTAAAAGGTAAAAACTTTTTCAACATGATTCTAATTCAAACTAATTCATCTGATGAATTTCTACTACTCGGTGACAGTAATACCAATGATGATAATAATAATAATAATCAAAATTATCCAACAGTTTTCCATTCAAATCATCAATCAGATTGGACAATGTCTTATTTGCCATCAAATATCACTATGAGGAAATCTCAACCAATTAATAGTAGTTTTAATTTACAATATGCCGATTTTATAGGTAAACTAACCGATAATCACAGTAAGGATAATACTATGAAACAATTATGCTTTATGGTTGGTTCACAATCGACTGTGCTATGCTCTTATGAAATATCGTTATCAACTTGATTATTATCCCAATGATAATTAGGTATGTTTTTCCTTGATGTCGTTCTGTTGAAAACTAATGTGTACATATTCACTTTCCATTTTTATATTGGATTGTGATAAATTTATGTTGTGTTAGAGGGCAATTATTTTTGCATACTGTAAAGTCTCCCTTCTTTATCTCTCATGTAATAATATATTGCTGAATTAAAAAATATATATATTGACTTTTTGATGATAATAGTTACACAGTAAGAGTATACTATACTTGTAATAGATGAACACTAGGGTGGGGACAACCAACGTGTTTTAATACAAAATCACAGTGTCTTGATAAAATATAAGAACTATACACTGAATAATTCATTTGCAAATATCCATCATTTGTCATTCACATTCTGTCTGATTCTTCAACTTCAAAATTCCTTTCTATCTTCCCTTCTCTTCAACTCGATCCCCTTAGCCTTCTGCTTCCAGAATTTCCACTTCCGACTGGTGTTACCTACTACTTATGTTGATGGACTTAAATAGCATACACTACATACTGGCGAACCAACCAAATCAAGGTCGAGAAGTCTTTCTCCAGGCCCTCGAATGCCCTGGTATGGCCGAGAGCGGGGTGGATTCGCCCTCCCTCTCGAGATACCCTCACATGGCCACGCGTATACAGCCCCTGCCAGGGAAGTCCTACTCACTGCCTTCTCGTGGCGGGGGTGTTGTTTACGAAATCGAGAGGACGAAAAGCGAATGTCCGTCGCTCTAACCGGATCCCAAACCAATGGTGCATATGGGCTCGAGTATCCTGCGGGAACAAATGGCGTATGAACCAATGGTTGTTCACCGGCTTCCACGGGACGGCATCTCCTCACGATGCTCCATTGCCTTGTGGGTCAGACCTTTAGGTCAAAGGCTCTGGATGTGGCCCCCTAAGATAACCACCTGCTTCGGTTTGTGCACCCGGGCAGTATCTCAGCCCGCACACAAAAACATGATAAACTATCTACTTATGAAGGGTTTTACATAATGTATATATTACTTTAACACTTAAAACTTTATATGGTTTCTTTTTACAAGTTTCTACTACATTCCTAGATAATATTAAGTACAATTAATAGAAAGCTATTTACTTCTTAACAATCAACATAACGTCGATTATATACGTAACATTACCAAGGTTTGACATGATAATTTCAAATAAATTGAGCATTGAGTAGGTTGTTATAAATAAAACGAATATATTTGTAACCAAATCAAAATATGATTTGGCTATATATTTTCCAAAGAAGTGGCTTACGTCGAGTAACGAAACGTCAGAAAGTCTCATTTTTCTACTCAATGGGATATCACAAATACATTATTTTTATTTATAATGTCGATTACTTATGAGAATGAGAGTAAAGGTCATATCAAACTATATCCATTGATCAATGTCCAATGAAAATTATTAACTGTAATTATGATTTAATCAAGTTTCGACTAGAATTACCCATAAATTAGTTTTCTAAAGTAATCATAAATACAATTGTAGGAAGTAGCTTCCTGCAGATGAAATTTTAAACTGTTCCACAGACTGTCAAGTACAAAGTCTTAGCCCAAATCAGAACAAATAAACTATATGGCTTGATAAACCATAGGTTTCTATTAACTAGTACAGTCTATTAAACAGGAAAAAAAGAATGACATGGATAACATTACTTACTTATTCCTGTTAACCCTCGTGGTGAAGCGTAGGCCACTCACCAGGATTCTCCATTTAACTCTGTCCTGGGCAATCGTGTCCAGTTGCTATTCACCCTTTTGATGCTTGATTCCAATTCTCGACGCAGTGTGTTCTTTGATCATTCTCTTTTTCGTTTCCCTTCAGGATTCCAGGTTACGGTTGACCTCGAGACTGAGCGTCTACTGAGTCTTTCATCCGGTTCAGCAACACTGTTGAAAACCTTTCCTTGTACTGACACTAATGTGATTCCTCCGAAGTTCTCACATTTACTCAGATCTTTATTTGGTATCTCGATGAGGTCTTCTTTTTAACACATCGGCACTTGTTCCTCCTCTCAAATATTCCTGAATAGAGTGTGAGGCATATTAGCGGCTGCTTCTATATCTGATTTCAGTCTTTCGGCTGGTATATTTTCAGATCCTACTGCTTTCCCACTCCTGATAGTTCTGATGACTATCCTGGTTTCTTCGATCGTCGACGGTGTGACGTGTATAGGAATGTCTGTGTGTGCCGATTCGATGTCCGGTAGATTCAATGGAGCTGGTCTATTGAAGAGATTTTCAATGTCCCACCCGTCTGCTCATTTGTTCTTGAATCTCGGTGATCGTCTTGCCTTCTTTGTCCTTGATCGGTCTCTGGTTTACAATATATTCTGTCAGTTTCTTCATCGTATCATATAATGATTCGTTAGCTCCTCCACATATTTCTGCTTGTTTGCTTCTGTGTAATCAGCATGTGCCTTGAATTCTCTGTTCTCGTTCGGCTATTGTCCTCCTATCCACACTGTCAAACACCTCATAGTCAAGGAAGTTGATGTATAGTGACGAGTTCCATTCAATTGACTGCTCAACAGTGATCCATAGTGTCACGACTTGGTTTGGGCATGACCAATCCTTACGGAATCCTGTCTGTTGATTTCGAGACTGAGCGTCTACTGAATCTTTCATCCGGTTCAGTAACACTGTTGAAAACGTTTCCTGATACCGACAGTAGTGTGATATCTCTGTGGTTATCACACTTGCTCAGATCTCCTTTCTTTAGTATCTTGATGAGATACCCTTCTTTCCAGTTTGTCCGCACTTGTTCTTCCTTTTAAATCTCCCTGAATAGGATGTGGAGTATGTTTGCGGTTACTTCTATGTCTGAGTCCAGTGTTTCAACTGGTATATTGTCAGGTCCTGCTGCTTTACCATTCTTGATTTGTCTGATGATCAGCCCGGTTTCGTCGATCGTCGGTGGTGTGACGTGTGTAGAAAAGTCTGTGTGTTGCCTTGATGTTCGGTGGATTCAATGGAGCTGGTCTATTGAAGGGATTTTCAGTGTTCTACCCATCTGTTCCTTTGTTCTTCAGTCTTAGTGATTGTTTGTCCGTCGTGTCATATAGTTGTTTCATATGTCCTTCCCTTGCAGCTTTCTCCTGTCATTGCTAGCTCTTGCACATGTTTCTGTTTGTCGGCTGTACTGCTCCTCTTCACTTGCTTGTTTGCTTCTGTGTATTCAGCTTGTGCCTTGATTGTCTCTGTTCTTATCCGGCTGTTGTTAATCGCTGTCTTCTTGTTCTTCCTTTCTTAAATCTTGTGCAGGGTTTCAATAGAGATCAATTCCTTATGATGATGCTTCTTGCATCCCAGCTCCTTCTGACACGTTGAAGTTAGTGCTTCTTTGATCCCTTCCCGGTTGTCCCCAATAGGAGTTTCTTCTTTCAGTAGATCTTGTAAGGCTTGGAACCAGTTGTTGAGAGCTATTTTGAATTCCTCGAAGGATGGCTGTATTGGATCTTTGTGATGCTGTCTGTCCGGTTGTCCAGTACTTCTTTATCCTCTGTTTCATCTTGGCAATCACCAGGTAGTGGTCCGAAGTTGTGTCAGCTTTTCTCCTAGTTCTCACGTCTTCCATTGGCCTCGTGAGTTTTTCACTGATGCAAATATGATCGATCTAATTCTGTGTAATGTGGTCCAGTGAGACCCATGTAGCTTTATTTATGAGTTTGTGGAAGAATATTATGCCGCTTATAACCAATTTGTTGAATGCACATAAGTTTGTGAATCCCTCCCCATTTTCGTTTCTTTCTCCCAGTCCATGTCGTCCCATGATGCCGTCATATCCGGTGTTGTCCATTCCGACTCTCGAGTTTAGATCACCCATCAGGATTGTCATGTTTTTCCCTGAAAACTCAGCTATGATCGATTTCAACCTCTCGTAGAACTGATCTTTATCGTCATCATTGATGTCATTGGTGGGTGCATAACATTGGATAATATTCATTGTGATTCTCTCCTTGTTTATTTTGAATGATGCTTTGATGATCCTGGGTCCATGAGATTCTCATCCTATAAGTGCATTTTGTGTTTATTTGGACAGCATCAGAGCAACTCCCTGAATGTGTGAACAGTTTTCTTTCTTGTTACGAGAGTACAGAAACATCTCTCCTGAATATATCCTTTTCTGTCCAGCTCGGGTTCAATGGATTCCAATGATTCCGAGTATCATCGAATTGTATCTCCTCATTTCCGCAGCTATTTAACTGGTCCTTCCGCTTTCCCACATTGTCTGAACATTCCATGTACCTATATTAATTGGTGCTCTAGTTGTTAGAAGGAGCACGTGACATTCGGAGAATCTCGGCTTTCATCATTTGGCGTCATAATTCTTCCTTGAACTCGAAGAGCAGAGTGAAAATGGTTTAAATTGTTTAATCTGGTTAGGGTTTTTTAGCAGTGTTGTTTTCTACGGGATGGGGTTGCTGACCCTTTGCCCAACCCTCCTCCTTTACCCTAGCTTGGGCCCAACAATAACCCCAGAAGAGCCACAGGTTACAAGGTCAAAGAGAGCTAAATGGTGTTGTGCTGTTTATTGCTGTGACTAGTAGGTTCGTTTATCGATTGCACTTTACAACTAAGCCTAGTATATATCTTGTAAAATATTTGAAACTAAAAAGAAGCAGGAAAAATGTTCAATAAATAAATTACTGATTAAATCAGTAATTCTCCTGAAATTGATGCACTTCATTGCTTGGATCATTTTTCTTTCTTTCTATGCGTTAATGAAAAATCTAATGAATCAAGTTGATTTTATAATTACTTCTTATTAATAAAAAGTAAATTACTTTTCATCTCTGGATTTTTCTATCCTAAAGTTAGCAAACGCTATACAAATCAATGTAACCATGTTCATTTGAATTATTCTTGATTTTGATCGGCAAAGTATGAAAATCCATATTTTTATTTACCTGACAATTGAAGTAGGTAATATTTACATGATGGAATCTTGACTATTGGACACTGAAAACAGAATGTACTGA